GATGGAAATGTACCTTGCACTGCTCTGTACTGTATAATATAATAAAAATACCTAATAAACATTTTGTTGCAAAACCAGTTTAATTTATAATTCCTTTGCGTCTCCATGTAGAATACAAGTTCAACCTATACCAAATTCACATCAGACAACATATTTGAAGTTGGGTTTTTTTCATAATACTGGTTTATTGTGACGCAGTATCACAAGCAAGATACAGTACAACTTTGTCAAACTGAATAAAAATCATAGTCCAAGAAACTCAATTTGATTTCAATGTCGCCTTTACTTCTCCAAATCTATCAGTATCTGCACACATTTTATTCAGTCAATATGTTATGACTAGTTTTCTCTCACTGTATTTACAAATTATATTCATGCCCACCATCTAGACATGGCTATAAACAAATGCAAATAGTACTGGTTCAGTCATTCAGAAAGCTTCACAAGATGTCATTTGGTAAGAACGTGTTGCTATGTGACCTAATGATGCTGCAGCAAGGTAACGCTCGGAGCGCAATGGAGTTATAAGATGAAATGCTCCGACAGTTCAGCTATAGCAACTTTTACTAAGTTTTAAGGACGTAGGAAAAAAAACTGTAGTCCTCACGTTGCATGTTAAACTATTTGTGGAACATGACTTCCAGTTGAAGGTGTTCACACTGTATTTAAAAACTATTTAATCCATATATTTCCTACTTGTTTCACAGCCTCTGTGAATTTCTGCTGTCAGGTGTTAATTTATTGGATTTTCTTTTGGCAAACTAGAACCACAATGGAGCACAGCCTAGAAATGTCATGTCAGATACAGTAACTCTATTAACCCTTTAAGAATGTGTCACTTAAAAATATTTTGAGTTATATAACTTAAGGTGGATTTATATTGTTAGATCCCACCAGTAATGGAAGAATGAACAAAACAGTGTGCCTGGGGTGAACATAACAGTACATATGGTAAACTTAAACTGAAATGCTTGAAAAGTACAACAGATGTAGGACACACTAAAAATTAAATCTCGCTAACCCGTCGTCATCTTGGTAACAGATCCAGTAAAATACAATTTCTTAAGTCAGTTCACCTGGACTATAACCACTTATGCTAAATCAACTCTAGGCATAATGTGGTCAAACTACAGTGTTGTTTAATGTCAAAAGAGTAGTAGTATATTTTAAGTATTCCATGTTCAAATCATTTAAGACCAGTTTAGTGGCATCAAATCATCAAACAGCATCAAGTGTTACTTCATTTTAAAATCATGTTGAACACACCGAGTATGTATTTAGGTTCAGTTAAACATCATGATCTCTCAAATCACACTGGAATGTGCCTGTGCAGCAAACCTCTTCAGCACTGTTAACCTAGTTCTGGAAACTGGTAGGGAGAGGGCTGCGACGAAACTTAGAGCACAATACATTTACGTCTTTTCTTAGGTTCAGGAGGCTCCAGGGCAGCCAGTATTGCCTCATCAAACACATTCTTTAATCCTTTCTGTGGAAACAAAATATTAATATTCAAACACACCTATGTGCCAGATACAAATAAACATCCTCAGGGAAGTCACTGCAAAAGAAGGCCTGAGTAGAAATTGAGCAGGGCGATCAAAATTTTCATTTATTCAACATTATACAAGACTATCGTCACGATCAGGCTGTCTGAGTAAAGACAAACGCCCATGGAAAGTGTCGATGCTGCAGTAGAAGAAAAAAAAGCTTATTGTCTGGGACAGGATGTAACATAAATGCTTTGTAGGGTACAACTGATGGTGAAGAGCTCAACATTTGTCAATTACAGTCCAGTTACACAAACCTGCACATGAGGTGACAGCAGAGAGGAGAACTAAATATTGGCACTCATCATATTAGGCAGCATGGATATTTGTAACTAGGCTAAGTTAAAACAAACAAACAAAGAAAAGCACAGATGAACAGAAGGAATTAGGTCAATGGGCAAAAAGTTTTAAAGATTAAAAGAGCATTGTAGTTATTTTAGTGACAGACATCTCATTACAGTGAGTAAGCAGCAGACGACTGAGAGGCAAAGAAAGATGCAAGAAAACATCAGAACAAACAGCATTTTCTCTTTCTCTGAGTTTCAGGGGGCTCTAAAGCGGCTAGGATAGCCTCATCAAATACGTTCTTCAGTCCCCGCTACAGAAAGAGGAAGAGGAGGAAGAAAGACAGGCACACAACACTGAGTTAGATGGAGTTTTTAACCAAATGTTAGCAAGAGACAGGGCAAAACATTTCCACCCTTGTTAGCACATTTAAACACATGCTTGCTAGACCAGTTTTAAGTGTTGTTTAATGGAAGATCTTACCTGTGTTAGGGCTGAGCACTCAACATATTTGACAGCCTTAAGGTCACGAGCCAGTTTTTCTGCTGTCTCAGGGGTGATTGGCTTCTGTTTGTTCTTGGCTAACTTCTCCACTGTGGAGGGGTCATCACGCAGGTCAATCTGAGTGCCTACCAACAGGAACGGCGTCTTGGGACAGTGGTGAGTTATTTCAGGAACCCACTGGAGGAAAAATAAAAAAAAACAAACAACTCGTCACCAAAAGGCAGAGTGATTTTCACTTTGTCATTTTGAGTTACAAGGTTTAGATTGATGAGCAAAAATAACATTCTTTTAAAATTGAACTTACAACACAAAATGTACAAACAGCACAGTGGTCTGAATACTTTCTGAAATGGCTAGTGTCTTGTTAGACTATGTGTACTATTGTGGCAGTATGTCTTTCAGAGAATGCCTGCTGTAGCCTGACTGATAATGCCTTCTTATTTGACATAGGGGACCAAATTAATTTCCCTTCTGGGGATTAGTCATTTAATTTTAATCTGCTCTAATCTAGGTCCTTTAGAGTTTGCTCCAGAGACATTCTAAACATTTGGAAAACATAAAAACTTTTGATACCTTCTACACAATTCAGTTTCTTCTGCTCAGTAGTTTGACAACTTATCAAATAAAACCCAGTCATTTTAAAGTGATTCCAAACAGACAGCATCCATTTATTTCACATACATGAAGACAAATCATGAACTGTAACTCCTTGTTATCCAGCTTTACATATCTCCAAACACCTAATCATACAAAGCAGAGTAGGAAGGTATAGAGGATACTCTATACTGATGGCAGCTTAAGCCCCTTTCAGACATGGTACCTGGGAATTTGCGGACAGGGCCCCAAATGAACTTTGACTCACTGGCCAATGTGGCTGGTAAGTGACCAGGTAAAATGGCCAGTACCACTTTGTAGACTGCATGACTGGGGGCAGACATGATGTCTAGATGAAAAACAGCTGGCAAATTCCTGGCTAGGGGTTCATGTCTGAAAGTAGGCCTGCATGATGAGAAAAATATGCGATGTGCAATAACACCGTTCAATACCGCAATGATGACAGAAATGTGATAACTGTATTTTAGCTATACAGTTCCTATATCTTTGCTTTAATAGGTACACTGCTAACATAGAACCCAAACATTAAATAGACCATACCCACTCAGTAAGGAAATGACATTATTTCAACCTGTTTTTATTGAACAAAACATACATGAATACCCAACCAGTTAACTGAATGTTTATATTATAAGAGATAAAGTTTTTTTTCCCTGCTGCTTTTAAAATACTTTCTTCTAAAGTCAACATAAACATCTCTTGAAGTAAAAAGATAATCAGGGAAATAAATAATAAAAATTTAGCTGCAATTTAAAAGTAGCAGCTTTCATAATTTTAAATGAATTGTACCAATACTATAGTAGGCTGCCTCTGTGCTGTTCAACTGACCTGTCCCTTCTGCACTAGCTCTCCAACAGCAGCAGCATGTTGGCTGCTGCCCTCATCCTCTCCTTCAGTACAGTACATCTCTTCAGCTTTCTCTTCCTGATTCAGCACTGGTTGAAGCCAGAAAATATTCAAAATGAATCAATTAAACCACTAATCAAACTGACTGGACTGATCAGCTTTCCCACGTGTGTGTTTCAATATTCCCCTGGACTGAGGGGGCAAACATTCAGCATCTGAGTTTTTAAACTAGAATTAACTGTATCCACCTGCAGAGAAATGCATATACATCAATGATATATATGCAGCGTGCTAACCTTAGCAACAGCTGCATTCTCTAATTTTAGATAGTACCAAGGAGAGGGTGTTAGACATGCAGGAAAGCAAGATAAACACTTTGTACTCACCTTTTCTTTAACATTCTCAAACGAGGAGGGTGAAACAACTGAGAAACAGACTAAGAAGACATCTGTCTGTGGGTAGCTTAGTGGTCGTAACCTGTCGTAATCCTCCTGACCTGTAGAAGGACCACACTACAAATTAACTTACTATGTGACATACTAATAACTGTACTTCTTCCAAACTGAAAAAAACTGAGACGAATAAACAATATTACCTGCTGTATCAAATAAACCAAGGGTGTATGGTTCACCCCCGATCATTACAGTTACTGCATAGTTGTCAAACACCTGTGATTTAAAAAAAAAAAGTGGTTTAAATGGGTATTTCATACTTTGGTGACCTAAACGTTGTCTGTCAGTATGCATCTGACTGTGAAAGCACACCAAAACTCACTCACTGTTGGTACATATTCAGAGGGGAATTTGTTGGTGGTGTATGAAATCAACAGGCAGGTTTTCCCCACTGCTCCATCACCCACCACTACGCATTTGATAGTCTGCATCTCTGCGTTTCCGATATAGCTGGCAAAAACGTCGGCTGCAAGAATCATAGAAACATTAGCCCTGAAACAAAGCTAGATTATTTAAGGGTGCATTCTTGTCAACTGCTATTGGCAGATTTGCCCTGAAACAAAGCTAGATTATTTAAGAGTGCATTCTTGTCAACTGCTGCTGGCAGATTGGATTGGCAATTTGATTTGAAGGGAAAGGCAGTGTTTCATAGTATTAACTAAGCTAGTTAGGTGTCACACCCCTTCACCAAAACTGTCTGAAGGCTAACGTTAGCAAATAAAAACGCCACTTTTCAACGCTTCGTGACTTAAAACTGGCTTACTATTTCTAAACAAAACAATAGAACCACCACATATTATGACACTATCAACTCAAAACATCGAAAATGACATTCAGTTTATGATTAAGATAGAAAGTTAAGATAACGCAGTGCTAGCAATCACTACACAATGCTAGCTACTTAGCTAGTATAGCAACCGGCCGGCTAACGTTAGCTTCTTATCTTGTACCCGAGTTCTAGTTAACAGGACAAAGCATAAACGAATGCCAGAACTTGTATTTATCAAAGTGATACACACAGAAACGTCAGACAATGTTGAAGTTACGTACCAATGTCCCTCCGTGTCTCCGCTAGCTAACGTAGCCGTCTGTTTCGCCGGGCGTTGGCACCAGCGAGCAGTAACTTGGTATAGTGAAGTCAGCGAGGAGCTGAGCGTTCAAGTCCACACTTCCGCAATCACTGACACGCTAGACAGAGTGATGCTGGATATTCCCTTCAAAATAAAACATTTAGCATACTTTGCAATATCTGACTGACGCCGAATGTTATGTAAAATAGTTACCAACAGAAATATAAAAAGTCAGTATTAAATCTGCAGTTTTACTTTTTTTTGTAGTGCAGTATTTTTTGTATGCAGTTTTTTTAATACACACGCGATCCTTCACTTGATTGCTCCTTATACATTTATTTTGAAAGCGATGTCCCCTGCTATGTTGGCACAAGTAATATGCTGCAGAAGTTAATGCAGCAGCACCTCCTAGGTCCCTCATATCATACATCCTCACCTGAATCTGAGCTCTCATTCTTCTACAGTATATGTACAGAGGGCAGGATAGTCTGTATATTATTAAGAAGATGTGAATTTAAATTTGATAGATACAGATTTGAGAAACAATCGAGGTGTGTAGATGTTATGTCAGTATATACAATGAGTGACCAAACAGCGCTCAAATCCATATTTTTACACTGCTTGTTATTTGTTTGTTGACATAGTTTTGTATTGTTTTGGCCTTGAGGTATAGTCCTAGTATACACATTATATGTGTGACAGTATGAAAAACACAGGTGTAAATCATTTTATTAGGCTTAATAACAATATTGGCTAAATTCCATTTAGCTGTTTCACTTTTAGAGCCTGGTGTCACATGGCTCACTGGGACACTTGAATAGAACAGAGCGACTGTTAATGTTATGAGTAACTCCTGTGCTTTTCCTGCTATGACAAGTCACGAGTCTGCTGGGGGGATAAAGGTCTCAGAGTTATTTCTAATGGTTAGTCCACTCCTATTTACATATATGAATATCAAAAACAACCTATAGGCTAATACAGCACCACAGCAGACTAAATATTTCAGTACTTATCAGATTATATCAACTTAATATTATATGCTTCACAAAAATAAGATTAAAAGTACACTTATTGCATTAATGAGTGTGTCTAATAAAGTGGTAATATATACTGTCCTATATAGTGGAGCTTTCAAATCTCTGAATGCAATGTCCAACAGACATAACTGTCTAACATCTTGCAGCTGCAATCAGCACAGTAATGAAATCAGCTGGTGAAGGACCACAAATCATCACGGCCTCCCTTAGAGAATATCTAATATTTTCTGGAGAATTTAAACATAATTTACCTTCCAACTGAAAGCCACCAGTCTACATAAATTACCTTAAACAGAAACATTCCATCTTATATCTCATAAGACTTTCTAGGGAAGTGAGTGTGTGTAAAACGATATTAATGTGAGGAAACTGTCCTTAGATTAACCAAAATAGGTGTTTTGCATGAATATTTTTTCTGCATGATTTTTGGCTTGTTCGAGTACAACATTGACAGATTTTCTAAAACCCTGAGAAACTGATGTTAAATGCAAACAGAATACCAAACTATATGACTGGCCATAGCCTCAGTTCTCCAGAGGTGCTAATTTTAAGGTGATTGGATATTCAAAAGTTGGTCCTAAAGTCATAGTAGGTCCTGGCAGTGAAATAAATGAGGTTTCATTCATTTCAGTGCCAGGACCATTTACTACTATTAGGATCATTAAATACTGAAAAAAAACAGTCTAACAGTGACTTTTTCACTTATTTTCAGTTTGGTTCCGTGTCCATTGGAGGAATTGTTTTGTAGCCTCAGTATGAACATGTTGATAATGAATCCATAATTTACAATTAGTGTTGCCTGACTTTCATTTATAGATCCCTGCATTTTTATGACAAAGCTGTTGCTGCGGTGATACTGTCTTTGCAGCTTTTGTCCTCCACACAGCAATATGTGTCCCTACCAAACAACACAACATTAAAACAAAGAGGATCCAACGTAGAGTCACCCACCAACTGGTCAAGACAAACAAAGACATTATGGGGTTAATTGTTTGTATGCTTATTTATTAAATTATGTTTAGTGTTAATGTGTTTTCAGTATATCTCTCAATGACAGTATGGACCAGTATATTATCCTTGTAGACTCTTCTTACCTTATTTTATCATGTTCCATTGTGACTTGTGTGGTGGTAGGAGGAGTTACCACTGTGGACACACACACACAAACTATTCACTGAAAATCAAGAACTGACATCTTGACTGTTCGGTCCCATTTTTTAGAAATTATATTCATATTACAAGACAATATTCATTTGTTGATTAAATATCATATATTGCTCTGGCTTATCAATTTACCTGAGAAATACATATTTTTTAATATTTCAATTATGTAATTAAAGGATACATTTTTGATTCATACATGATGACATTACAAACCAGCCTAAATCATTTGAAGTCAAATAACATGATTTTAGCCAAGTCTATCCAAACTGTAGTGATGCTAGAGTCAGTTATATGAGCCTTGGTCTTTCTAGATTTAGTAATAAATCAGTCATATTAAAAATCAGCATTAGCATATTACTACACTTTATGAAGTGTTGGTGCTGATCCAGATGGAGCTTACCTGTATGGGAGACGAGGATCTTGATGCCAGTGTGGATATTCCTTCCAGATGTGGCGATGACACACCAGTACATATCCTGATCACTTTCTCCAATTGAAGTCATAGTAATGGTGAAGACTCCTGCTTCCTTATCATCAATAATGGAGCTTCTGTCACTAGATTGTTTCATGGGTGTTTTCACCACTATGCGACACAGTTCATATATTTGTCCTTTGCACCAGTACTTTTTGTTTTCTCTGTACCGATTGTTGTACTGACAAGAGACGGTCACAGATCCTCCATATGCAGCAGTTACCACCTTCGGAGCTGACAGCTGAAATGGATCCACTCTATGCTTTGTTAGCCAGAAGAGACAAAGAACCGTGGCTGCAAAGTGCAAAAACATTTCACAAGATGTTAGTTAATCAAACCAGTCATTCTTTCTAAGTTCCTCTGCCATTACAAAGGTAGAGAGTGTTTTTAAAAAATTACCATTAAGGAAGAATGGTGTTCTCATGATGGGAATAGAGAGAAGAGCAGAAGCAAAGTGCAATGTTTAGAGCCTTCCTCTTCTTTCTTCCTTGTGATGAAGTTGTGCAATCAGGTGGTTCAGGGGAAATCAGGGTGGAAATATTTGTTTGTGCAGGGTTGTTTTTATGGTCATCTTTTGTTTTGACATGCCAAATTAATGTTTCTCCTGTCTATCTTGTTCCTCTGTGTGATCTACTGTAAAGTGAGATCTGTAAAGCCAGTCACTTACTTAAACAGCAGAGGGCACTAAAGACAAACCTGCCTTTGTAACAGTATTCACATGGCTGGGGCCTTTCTGTATTGAGTTTGCATGTCATCCCAGTGCCTCTGTGGATTTTTTCCCACAGTCCAGAGACATACGGGTTAAGTCATAACATAAAAGAGAGTCATAGTGTGAGATTATGACACAATTTGCATTTAGACTGACATGTCCTCACACAGGATTACGCCAAACATCATGCACTGTGTTGAAATCTGTAAAGTTAACATGACAAACTAAGAAAAATAGCATAGAAGAAAAGACTTGTGAAATTAGGAGGACACTTGAATGACACTTCTGAGGACAGATTCTTAGACAAGACCAACCCACCAAGGTAAAAACAAAACAACAAAAAACAGAACACTACTGCTGACACATGCAGTAGTGGTGAGTACTGTGCGTAAGCAGCATAGAGGTTGCAACACCCAGGGGCTCATATCTGTTTTGGATAACCTCCATTATAACTATGGCTTATTTCAAAAAGCTATGCATAGGATATTTTCATCTGCTAATTGTGACATTTTGTCTCAGTCTCTTGCTGAAAGTACAGAATGGCTTCTACCACTTGATATGAAAATCATTTTAGGTTTGTGAATATTTAAGGTGCTATTGAATGAGGTCACAGTTTTAGCTTTATTTTCCTTTAAACTCAATAGATGTATATGGAAGTACATGTATGGTATGTGACAGATTAGCCTTTTATAGCTTGGAGAAAGAATTCTCGAGTAGTCTACTAAATGAGCTGTCCTGTGATGATGACCTTGGTGAAAACTTTCACATTTAACTAAGGAAATCACTGGGTTAATGAAAAATGCCACTCCCAGTTAGTCTGAGAATTTGTTTTTTTTATTATTGAGACACACCAAGAAAAGCAGAATTATTTTTGAAAAGCAAAGGGCATCACTTCTCCTTCTAGGCTTTGGCTCAGCCAAGTTATTTTCCACTGACACCAGCATATCTTTCCTTAAATATTATATAAACTGTTGAAGATAAGAAAGGCTGCAATATAATGGAGGGTAAATGATTAGATAAGCCCTCCATTGCTTTTGATTTTAATTCTCCATGACCTATAATAATCTTATTTTCAGAATGAGTCAAGTTTTTAAACATATTTATCAACATATAGCTGCAGTCAAAATAGTTTATCAAAGGGAAGTTTACCCACTGTTTATATGAGTCAACTTTTAATATTTTATGTCTCTGCTAAACAGATGAGTGCCAAATAAAAGGAAACACCTGAATAAATGAGTGGTCTCCTCCAAGATGACAGTGTCCCCATCCATAGGGGGTCACTGAATGCTTTGATGAGGATGAAAATGACAGGAATCATATGCTGTGGCTTTCACAGTCACCGGATCGCAACCCAGTTGAACCTATTGGAGATTTTGGAGCGACATGTTAGACAGCATCTCCACAACAATCATCAAAACATCACATGGGGAATATCTGTGTCTCACTGAGACACTTCATGTTGGCGTTTCCTTTTGTTTGTCACCCGTATGTATTTACTGCATGACATGAATGGCATATTTGATATCATAGATTTCATACACCTTAGTCCAATCACCACCAAACATCCACATTTCCAGTTTCTTAAATAAGAAATTTCTTTAAAATGTTTTTCTGATACAGCATAACTGGTCAAATGTACTGTATCTACACTCCAAGCAAATATATGTGACAAGTTTTCAGTGTTATTTTTAGAGTTTTGTGGTGATTTTTTAAACATGACTCAAGCTGATTTGACACAGAGCTTGGAACTCTATTTGCTTTAGATAAGAGTCCTTCACACAAGGAGAAAATGTGCCTGTAGAGAATATGGCTGAAAGCGTGATAAGTAATCACATATTACTTCTTAAGTGAGCACATTTGGTAATCTTTTTTCCACCAGTCTTCTGCAAATAAACACTTTAGTTTGGCAGATGTCCCATATCTGTTAAGTTTGATCTAATTGGGTGCGTATAAAAGTCAGTATGCTGTTAGATGACCTCTTTGTACAAGGTAGTCATGGGCAAAGTATTGTTTGTGACAGGTAAGTCATTTTTCTCTGGGCAGTAGATATTCTTGGTAACTGGTATTTTGAAGGTTTGATTATACATCACATTCATTCTTCTATTTTTAAAGTGCTAATTTTTGGCATTTTTCCATTTAAACTTCATTTTGCCCATATATCTTTTTACTTTACAGCTCTGGCCCTGCTGCTGCATGCGCAGCTTGGTAAGAAATATATAAATATGGGATTTAGTGGACATGTTTATTTTTCCTACTATGGTCAGAAATTGCATTGCATCAGGTTTTTAATACATAAATAATGGATTTCTTGTATGTCAAAGGGTCATCCTTCATACTGTCATGCTACTTTACAAACTGGGCGCAGTACAGACCACCTCCAACCATTTATATGCCCAATGACATTGACCCATGCCTCTGTACCCATCTTCTGTATGCCTTCGCTACCATTAAGAACAACCAACTGGCCACCTATGAGTGGAATGATGTAGAGCTTTACAGTCAGTTCAACGGCCTGAAGAACAAGTGAGTAACTAAAACTATTTGTTTGTCTATCAATAATCCCTATAAAGAACAGTGAAGTTTCATTAATATAGCACAGTTAGAAAAGAAGGGGTGTTTTAGTTGTCATTGAAACATCTCATTTTTGGCAGGAATGGCAACCTGAAGACTCTTCTGTCTGTTGGAGGATGGAACTTTGGTTCTACAGGGTGAGATTATTTATACATATCTACAGATGTTGCACCCTAAACAGTGGAGACTTTCTGCTTTAATACATTTCTGTTTTCACGTTAGCTTCTCACAGATGGTGTCAAGCCCTGCCACTCGTCAGACCTTCATCAGCTCAGTCATTTCATTCCTGAGGATGTATGAATTTGATGGGCTGGATATTGACTGGGAATATCCAGCCAACAGAGGTGGCTCTCCTGAGGATAAGCAAAACTACTCTGTTTTCTTGGAGGTTTGTTCTGTCTGTTTCACTTTCATGTTTTAAGCACTTTTCCCATCAATTCTTACCTGCTATAGCAAATACACCTGTTCAAGCTTGTCTCAAAATGTTTGGGTCACAGTAAATCTCTGTGGAGTTTCCATTGTTCCTCACGAATTAAAAGATCCATCAGAGCAAAAACATGGCCATGCCCTGACCTTGTTACAAATCATGGGTTATAAATTCTGGAGACCAGTTAACATTAAATATTTTATATCTGTTGACATTCAACAGGAGCTGAGAGCAGCCTTTGAGAATGAGGCCAAACAGAGCAACAGGGCTCGTCTTCTGATATCTGCTGCTGTGTCGGCTGGAAAGGACACCATTGATTCTGCTTATCAGATTCCCCAGCTTGGCCAGTAAGCATTTGAAGCCATATTTTTGGTGTGTCCCTATCAACATAATGGGTCACAATTGAGTGGAATAACTCTAGATTTCACTCCTATGCTATAAAATGATGAGTAAAGCTAAAGCTATAGTTGGTGTGATAGCCTCTACACTTCTTGTTTTCCACACCCAGGTCCCTGGATATGATCAATGTCATGACCTATGACTTCCATGGCTCTTGGGACCCCATGACTGGCGAGTGTAGCCCCCTGTTTAGAAGCCCCGTGGACCAGGGTGGCTTCATCGATTTCAATGTGGTGAGTAGTTAAACGTCCTCATGGAAAATACATTAATTTGCTAGCACCTGCAGTTTACATATGCACGTTTTACTGTGCCTAGAACTATATTAAAACATCCACAAAATTTGTGTAGTTTCAGTGCTATGTATGTTTCATGTGTGATTTCTTTGTTCCAGGACTATGCCATGAACTACTGGAAGAGCCAGGGAGCCCCAGCTGAGAAACTGATTGTTGGTTTTCCCACATATGGCAACACATTCACTCTTAGTAACCCTGCTAACCATGGTCTTGGAGCACCTATTTCTGGTGCTGGAACTCCAGGAAAGTACACTCAAGAGGCTGGAGAACTCGCTTACTTTGAGGTATGTTTTCTTGTTGCTCTAATAAAGGTAAAGTGATTGATAGTAAATGTGTATGGGGATTCTTTTTAATGCTAAATAACAGAGGAGGTTGGTTTATCATAGCGTTACAGACTCTACTGTCACTTGTACAACACTTTGTGAAATTACAGATCTGTGGATTTTTGAAAGATGGAGCGACTGAGGTTTGGAACCAAGCCCAGGATGTACCATATGCTTACAAAGGAAACCAGTGGGTGGGTTATGACAACAGGAAGAGCTTCCAGATCAAGGTAACCGACATGCACAGAATACCTGTTTTACCATTTGACAGGCCAGTCTTTCTGGCTGCTGTAACATGTCTCCCAGTCTTCATAAGCAGTCAAAATTCATACTATAAAATGATGCCCCTTGTATGTGGAGTCCTGCTGTGGTTAACAGCAAACACTGTGCAAAGATCTTGTGATAAAATTATGTTTTTGACCTCAGTTTGAATGTTGTTTGCAACACCCTCTTCTGGCTGTCTGTAGGCTGACTGGCTGACGAAGAGCAGCTTTGGAGGTGCCATGGTGTGGACCATTGATATGGATGACTACTTGGGCACTTTCTGTAACCAGGGAAAATACCCACTGATTAATGTTCTCAAACAAAGCCTTAATCTGGAACAAGCATGTAAGACTCTTGATCATCAGTGTGAAACCATAAAGTGTTTCTAATGAAATTAATTCATTAAAGAATGAATGTGTGGCGTGTTGCAGCCTGTGCCCCTCCTGCCACTCCCCTTCCTCCAATCCGTGGAGTGAGCACAACTACTGGAGGCAGCTCTGGAGGAGGCTCCAGTGGAGGATCCAGTGGCAGCAGCTCATCTGGAGGTGACTCAGGCACAAGCGGCATGGACGGCGGGTTCTGTGTAGGAAAGGCCAACGGCATGTACCCCAACCCAAAAGACAAGAATCAGTTCTACAACTGTGCTGGGGGAAAAACCTACTTTGAGCACTGTGCTACTGGTCTGGTTTTTGACAGCTCCTGTTCTTGTTGCAATTGGTCCTAAAGCTGAATTTACAGATTGACAGATTAATGGTTCAAAGGCTGGTTAACTGTGTTTTACATTTGTTCTAAGTTCTCAGTGCAAAGTCTTTCCCTTCACATGTTGCATGTTAAACAATGTAAAACCTGTGCCTGTCCTCTTGAGTAATTCACTTTAAAAGCAAAGAATAAACTGCTGAACTGATGAAGGTGTGTTGTATGTATCCATGTTGTTGTCTTTATCAGTTATAAAATGAGATATCATATGAATTATCTTTGTATCAAACAAAACTGTATTAGTACAACTGTCTTGATACACATATACAGTATGTATATTTCACTTACATATGCT